TTAATTTCTAACGACTTACGCGATTTGCAATCCTATTATAGAACATGCATAAGTCGTTGGCCGATAAAGGTGCTTCGAGTTCGTTATCTGCGACATATTATTGTGTACTATATAACAGTCATCTTGCCATTCGAGGAACAAGACTCGAGCAGGCAGCAACGGAACAAGCGGCTTTACACATCATAGTATTATCATTCAAGACGCGGTCGCGACAAGTGGGCTTAGAGATACTATACTAAATGCGATCGTTTCTAGGAAAAACAGTGACAATTACAAGCAGTAATGATCTCTGTTTCAGCTCTGGTGTAGTTAACAACTTCAGCTATTTAGATAGCTACTTAGATAAGGTGTAATCCTTATCTCGGCTATCTAGGATATCTGTTATTTCGCGCGATTTCTACTTTCAACTGGAGATCAAGGTAATAGAGGACGGAAGTTATAAATTATACAATATAATAACTAAATAAGGTTTTTAGATAAACAATGATAAACAAAAAGGAGGATAAAAACCCACACAAGATCTTATTTGGAAATTACTCTGTTCAATCTTTATTAAATATGTCGTATAAACGTTTCGATCTTCATTAGGCTATCCTCAGTATTGAAGATATTTAATAAAGATTGAACAGAATAATTCGCAAATAAGATGTTGCGTGAGTTTTTATGCTCCTTTTTGTTTGTCATTATAAATTATAATTTATAAAATCGCACGCGTTGGATCGTTCTTATTTGTTTAAAAATAATTTGCCCGTTACACACATACACACACACACATTGTAATACAAAAATAATTTAAAGGGGACAACAGAAGTAATTTTATACAATGCATAATAAACAAAGAATAACATTTCTTGTAACTGCTAATAAATCAAAAGAGAATAAATTAAAAACAAACATTGCACTCAGTAGAGGGATCGCATATCAAATGTCACACGTAATTGCGAAAGTTGTGAGGTCTCCAATAACCAGCGAATCGAATTATCTAGCTCCGCGGTATAACATTACAATTAGTCAATTTCCATTGAGAAATAATTGTGTGGTAATAATGGAAAATGTAGTTTGCGCGATTAGTAATGTCGGGTTTCGCAGAGCATTCGGCATTGATCTGTTGGACATATCGTCGCGATGTTTGAAGCACGAAGAGTGCAATATCGTGAATTAATGCAAATACTACGTAAATTATTGCCGGTACACTCGTCCGACGCTACGTTGACGCATAACATAACGCTGATTTATATGCTCGTGGGAATTTTGATGGCGTTTTCGAAAAAAATACCTGAGAGAAATATATCACCGTTATTTAAATTCGATCTTGGATATCATTCAATCCTCAATTATCACGATTAAATCATCAATATTAATGACGTTTGGGACTTTAGACGAGAGAAAAAAAGACATCTTTTTTCAGAAAAAAAAAATTGAAAAGCAAATATCAAGTCGAGAATTCATGCTATCAAAATGCTTGTTAAACTTTGAAGTTACGTATCTTCAACAAAGTTTTGAATTATTTCGACTTGATAAATCCTATTTAACTTTCGACTCCAGCAACGGGAATTTAGACTCAAAGTGAACATTTTAGACAATGATATTAATCATGAGGTTCTAAATTATAAGTAAAAAAACTTTGAATCTTCTTTTATCAAACAAGATGGAATTTTATTTGAATTCTATACTTCAAATATAGGATGCTTTAGAATTTAGGTATAGTTTTTATAGCTGAACAGACAGAACACAAAAAAAAAACGGTTCTGCTGAAGTATTTAAAAATTTAGCTAGATACAGATCTAAATATAATTTTGTTTGAACCATCAAAATAATTATGTAGCGCGCTTAAACTAATTACTGGAATGTTAAAACGTTGCAGTATTATCATTAATGTTTAAGTGTTCTGCATAATTATTTTGATGGATTAACAAAATTATTTTCAGGTCTGCATCGAGCTAAATTTTTAGATACTTCAGCAAAACCATTCTTTCTGGTGTAGTTAAGGTTAAAAAGATCAATTAAAAACAGCTAGTCATTTATATTCCGTCAAAATTAATTACTTGGAAAAAAAGAATAATTTTCAAATAGTAACAAACCATCATTTAATTCTGCAGTGAAAATCGATCGTTCATCGTATATATTTTCCTCATCGTTCGGATTTTGATCATCATTGCGTGGTTCTACGCAATCCTGTGTGTCTTTTATGCCAAGCGAGCAAGCTAAATAACGAATGAGGACGCTGGTTGCTCGGGACCAGAATTACGTGTGCGCAGTAAATACCGGAAGTCCCCTCGCGGGAAATCGGTCGAGATGGTCGTCCCGGACGTATAACGTCATTACACTTGTAATTCCTGAGGCCGCGCGCATCGCTCTCGGCGAAAGCGGTAGACGATAGATTTAGCGAATGACGAAACGAGCGATGCAATTTGTTTATCTTCGTTTACTGCATAAAATTCGCAACGCGTACAATCCGACGGGCGGATCAATAATAAAGCATTACTCGATATCTCGTGAGTCAATAAAATATATATATGCACGTATGAATAAAACGTAAGAAATAAAATCCGATGCAATTTTATTGTTTTTGGAATTTTATTGTTTTGACATTTCATAATCCGCGGATCTTTATTTTCCATTATGCAATAAAATCATGAGATCGACGAAATCTAAATTGAAAAGAGCTGACAATTAAGATAAATGTCCCAGTGATTGGACAAGTACCTATGTCCGAATATTTACACAAAATTTATTATTATTAGTCTCAAATCCTTTTCTTATTAGAATATTATTATTTTATTGTATATAAAAATTACAATTAAATTATAATATTATATTTGAAGAAGTATTTGAAATTATTAATAATATAGACAAAAAAATAAAACTTTGTGTAAATGTCTGGACATAGGAACATGTCCAGTCACTGAGACGTTTATCTTCTCTTATCGGAATAAAACGATCGTTTAAGAACCGAAAAAATAAATTGTCAATACTTCCTGTTTCCAATGATAATTATATAACAAGCCTTCTCTCGTGTTCTCTCGGATAATGGTCCACCGTTCCCATTCTAACTTGTCGCGTACTACTTTCGCATTAGATAAAATTTGCATCTTAGCCAGAGTAGCTGTAGTTCGTGTCTGTATATGTGTACGTATGTACGTACACACCTATGTGTATCGGGATTGTGCTATTTTCCTGCGAGAAGTAGATCGGTTATTGGGAAACTTTGCGACAGAGTTTATGCGCGCTGCAACTGCGGCGAAGCCGTCCACCCTGAGAAAGATAATAGCTTTGCAACGACCCCCAGCCATCGTTGGAGGTATACGAAAGTTTGCCATTGTTTCTCTCTTTTTAACGCAGGACACGGGCTATCGAAGCAACAAAATTACTACGGCGACAATATATATATTGTGCAGTATTGTCTCCACAGTAATATATTGTATATATAAAGTTTTATATATATATACGTATACCCTCTAAAACTTTTAGAGTGAATTGTCACTCTGAAGAGAAAATCTCTCACTCTTAAAGATTAAAAATTAAACCACTCTTTTTAAAGACTGGTTAAATTTTCACTCTTTAAAGTGAGATTCCACTCCAAAGAATTTAAAGAGTATATATATATGTATATATGGAGGAGACCTGTATAGTACGGTTCGTTGAGAAATTAGAGAAACTAGAGAACACACACACCGCCAACTCGTTCGCGTAAACGACAAATTTCGCAATGCTATGTCTTTTCGTGTACCATGCACATTTACTTCTTATATTTCAACTTCATCATTTATAAAACTTTATTGTGTTTCCTAATGGGTGCTATCCTTGTTGTTTTAATAGAATGAGGAAGCCGTTTTATCTTATTAAGGCAAATTTAAAACAAGCAGGACGATGCTCCTTCGTTGTTTATGGCGTGAAATTGTTTTTAACTGCGTGGTATCATTTGCGAAAATTATAACTTTGTTAACGTAAAAGTTAAGCTTTCCTCACGAGTTTCTATCAGCTGGCACGTACGGGTCTTTTATTTTCGCCATTCTGAAAGTTAGCGCGTCACTGTAATTAATAATTAGGAGCAACGCTGTTAAAAGTCTGTTTTATTACTCGTTTTTAGTTACCTCTCTTCTCATACTAGTTTCTCCGGTTTCCTTTACTCATTCGTGTAGAATTCTAGCAAGCAATTGGAGGAAATAAAATAGCTAACCATTATAATAAAGAGTTATATTAAGAGTTAAATCCCACTAATACGGTTTCAATTTCGTATTTTAATCCTGCTGGTCTGTTCAGGTCTATTTGATCCAAAATGTAATTCATTTTCTCATTATATATTTAAAACAAAAATAATTTTATGACTTCAAGTATAAATCAAATATAATGAAATTGCCCCATAGGCAATATATTTACTTATATTTATTTTATTAATATTTTATTACTCTCTAAATCTGAATCAGTGGATAATCACTGATACCAGTGCCAAGTATGCTACTGGTAATCAGTGATTGAAATGTGAGATCCCTAACCTAGCTGATCTTTATTATGTGATGTAACCTTGTTTTAGTGCATAAATTCAATGAATATATGGTATTGAAAGATTGAAATTAAAACATGCAAATATCAATATTTTAGTTATACAAACATTCAAACATTTTTCCTTTTTTAGTTGAACTTTACTGATTATCAATGCCAAGTATGCCACTGGGTAATTAGTGACTATCCACTAATTCAGATTTAGAAAGTAAAAACAATTTTTTTTTTCTTTTGTATTCGATGACTTCGTCTGTTGTAAAAATAATGTAAAATCTTTCTTCCGTAAAAATTTATTTTTTATTTTTTAGAGCTTTTTAATCGTATTGATCAAACGATATGATCATATAGTTTTGAACAGAGTTTTAGCAAAAGTTAAAACATATGTTGAAAAGTATAACTGAATTGACATTCAGTGAATCCTAATGTAAAATTCTAAATTAAATTTATATCACTGTCATAGAAATTATAACAATTATATTGTTATCATTATTATTTACCTGTAATTTCTGCTTGGAGTCGGCTGGATGAAGTGGCTCGGGACCGGTTTTGGGCTGATCACCCTGCAGACTTTCGATGTTCTTTGTACGTATCAGCTTGCCGAAGAGCTCGAGGCCCTTCTCCCGGTCCAGATCGAGCTTCATTTTTCTGCAAATTAAGAGCGATCGAATTATTCACTCATAGACTCGGAAGAAAAAGAGAGCACTTCCAGCAATAACAGGTAAGTGCTTTTGATCGATGTCTTTCACAAACATTCTTCCATAGCAGGCACGTGAAATAAAATATTATGCAGAAAATGCATCAACGAAAGGAGAATGAAGTAACATGATATTATAGAACGAGGTTCGAACATCGTGCGTCTGTCAGCTGTCTGCCGATGAAATGAGAGAAAATAATTAGAGAGCAAATATTCGCAGAAACGTATGAGTTACCGGCATTTGTTGAATGAGGATTAAAAAGACGTATATATACAGTTGATCATAATTACGCTATCCGCAAATGAGATCAAATTCAGTGTACTTTTCAAGCATTTCTAAATTTACCCAGCAAACTAAAATGCACACGTATGCGCGTAAAAAGTAATTGAAAATCAGACCAATATGTGAGATTGTTATTTCTAGCGGGGGCTTAATAATATCTGTCTGAACATGAGGCCTTTATGAGATTAAAAATAGCTTCTGCGGCGCGGAGAGAGTAGTTTAAAGGTTATCAAATAAAATAAGAGTAAAGTATAAGTCGAAAAGATAGTTTATCGTAAACTTCCGGATCCTTGATATTCAAAGTGAGAAAATTAGCGGAAGATATTTTATATCTAAGAATAGTATTCTGAACAATAAGGATAAAGTTTCTTTTCATAAAATACGTATCGCATAAATAAAATTTCGAGCAACTTATGAACAAAACAGAGAATAGTAATATATACATGTGAGAACAATTGGAGTAAGAACAATTCAGAGATTCAGAGAATAGTTTCAAGAAATTGCGTGTCTGACAAATAATATCCATCACACGAATGCGGGATTATATAAAGAAACTTAACGTCTGTTCTCATCCATCATCCAGTCCGAAAACGCAAAACGACGAAAAGACGTAACTCCGTCGCATAATCGAACGGCAATCGGCCATTTCCTGAGACAAACGAACTCTAAAAAAAACCGTCGTCGACATATGCGACTCTTTTTTCTTCGGCTCGCTTGTTCCCAGGGTCGGAAGTCGCGTACACAAATTATCGATTTATTATCCGGCGATACTGCTCTTCAACGGGCACAGCTCTTTCACGTTTCTCTGGCGATGCTTCTGCGAGCTTGCCTGAGATTGAAAAATTATCGTGCGTACTCTTGTCATCTCATAAAATTACTTTGCCGAGATTATAACTAAGATTTTAACTGATTTAAGATTCGATTGCTTAAAAACATTAAATTATTGTTCAAATGTTGAAAACCTTAAAATTATCGTATGTTTTTATAGCGGATTCTTCGATTAAGAATATATATATCATATCTCAAAGTATTACCAAAAGCATAAAATAAATTTTATAGATGGTTCTATTATTATGTTTAAAAATTTGAGCACGATTTTTTCTTGTTTAGAAGTTATTTAGATTTTTGTTTGCTTTAATTCTTATGTAAAATCACGTTAATCCTCACCATACGGAATGTCAAATAAATATTCTATGAAAATTTCAATGAGATATCGCAACCATTAAAACGACTACTCTCCTCATCCTCTTTACCATGCTAGTCGATTAAAACATCACACGGTAAGACGTTTATAATACAGACGCGATGCACTTCACGACAGATTATGCAAACAGCGAACAGTGAAGATAATCGCTGAACGAGTGAATGGGAAAGTACTCGGCGTATTAAAGGGAATAAATTATTCAGGATAGACGCGGGTAAGGTTGAAAGACTTGAAGGTAAATTTTACTTGCTCCTCATCGAAGATAATGGATTTTCGAGATACGTTTGGAATTTTACCCAGGAGCCACTGAGAGAGAAATTGGCACGTGTGATACGTCGTGCTGACAAGTCACGAAATCCATATCGTTTGGAACGAACGCGCGAAATTTTCCAACGAGAAACAAACTGCGCCGACGAAAACTCTTGCGATCAAACTGAGATTTTAAAAATAAACGAATTTTGACAAATCTAATGATATGTAAGAGTCAGGCATTTTTCTACGCTTGTAAAACAGTACAATAAACTTTACGGGACTTGAAAAAATAATAATTAGATTCTTATAGCAAATCAATGTAATATTTTAACGCAGTTCCCCTTGTATGATCTCTGTATTTTTTACGTATAAATCATTACATTGTTAGAAAAGCAGCACAACTCAAAATTGATAACTTTTCATTAGAGCATTTTTTTAGGTTCTTTCTGAATTGAAACGAAATTCTTAATTAAGATAGTGAATGCATAACTTCACTTTCTTTCCATGTTATACTTTAAATTATAATGTATTTCTTAAAATTATATCATTTGTTTTCAAAATTCGGATAATGCAATCCTACATTGTTAAATCTATAGTGTCAAATTTAACTTAACGTGAGTCGCCACTGCTCCTACTCAATCAAATCGTTATTTTATATTAAAACAATGGTTATATTTGACACTATATAATATCAAATTAACACGATATAATGTCAAATTTAATTATCGTATTAGTAAAAAATAATGATATATTTAGTAGGAGCAGTGGCGATTCACACTAAGTTAAATTTGACACTATAGATTTAACAGTGTAACATAGAGCTATGTAAACATTCCTTATCAGAGTGAGTGAATTTTTTTATATAAACAATGTGTTAACAAATATATCGTTTTTCTACAACAAGATATTAACCTTTGGAGAGAGAGGAAGAGAGAGAGAGAGAGAGAGAGAAATTGATTTCCTTTCAAAAATGCTAATTTTATATTTGTATCACTTTTCTATCAACGCGGTAAAATTTAGTTCCGTACAACGTTATTTTTAATATTTATCGTTAGATAAAAATACGTATGTAAAAGTCGCTATTCTCAGCGAAAGCTGTGCACAGCACTTAATGAAAGTGTTAAAACTGCTGGTGAAAGTCAGAAATTAAAATCTTACGAGAGTCGACGATCCCGATCCTTCAATATGCATGAGTATTTCTCTCTTCGTGTTTCGTTAAGAAACATATAAGAATAGTATTCAATAATGCAGACGCGAGTTTGTTTCGAAGCAACAGTAGTGAATTCGCCGTAAAATCGACCGACCACCGCATAATCGCGCTTTAACGTGGCAGAGTGCAATTAACCCTTTGTATGCTACTCGTGATATCTCGCGTTGGAACATCAACCGTCTCTTTACGTCACTTCTTTCGTGTTATAGACTATGTCATTGCGCTGCGGGATGCTATTGTAGAATAATGTAAATGTATCGCTCTCAATCGACTTCTCATTTGCAAAACTTGTTGTCAGATCGCACATATTTCATCTTTACCTCATTTCATTACTTATCGTATCTATATTTTTATTTTATGATGGAATATAGAAATATTTAAATATGTTAAACAAATTAATATTGCCTGTATGTACGATTAAAATTTATCCTATATTATAGTAGCTCTCTCTCTATTTGGAAAATATTTGTTTTGAGATATTTACTTTTACTGCGATTAAAATTAAGATTTTTATACAATATTAAAATCTGCATTCCAAAAATATAGGTGTGGATTTCACACTATGGGTTCAATATAATTCTCATCGTATCGATGTTGATATAAACCAATGTGATGTTTATATAATTTTCACTGTGTTACTATTGATATAAATATCAACGTGATATGGATTTAATATCATGAATATAGATTTAATATTCTGATTTTAAAAAAAAATAAAACAAGGCTCAAATAGACAAAAATCGAACTGAAATCAAGGGATACGAGTCTAACTGGATGTTTAAGAATTGTATTTTGTTTAAAATTTAGGAATAAACATCTAATTAGTCTTATAGCTCTTCATTTATCAATTTATAATTCTTTAATGATTTAATACTATTTTAATATTGTATTAAATCATTTAAATCAGAATGTTAAATTATTAATACCACAACCATGGTACTAAATCTACACATTGGTATTTATATTAACAACAACACAGTGAGAATTATATATCTAAACACCGGCATCGTGTTAAATTCTTACCCATATTTCTTAGAATATAGAGATTAGTAATTATTGTATGATATCATATATATGAATTTATTCAATTTACAAATGTAATAACAAAATATGGAAACATCATGTCGTGATTTGTTATTACTGCTCTTTGATTTGCAGAGAATGTCAGCTAGTACAGAGACCATAATACGGTACAACATAAGAGAAACTCGCGACAAACAACAGTAAGTTTAAAAATAACCGACAAAATCCTATCATTCCTATCATTCCTATCCATATGGGAAATTGCATAACGCAAAATCCGTGAGAGAAAAGTAATATCGCTGCTCAGTTCCATCGTAACGCGATCTCTCCCAATGATATCACACGCACGACAGTTTTTAATTAAGAACGGGGACGAAACAAAAACACACTCATGTCGCTGCTTACTGCGTGACTATCATGCAGAGACAGTAGCAATGAAACGAAAGCTCATTCGTATTCTCAGATTATCAAGAAGGTCCGTCGAGGTTTTCTCAATTAGAACGACGAAAAACAAGTCACTGCTGCGACTTTCTTTTTAAACGGAATTTCCTTTTCTTTAATCTTTGGTAACGAAGAACTTTTGTGTTAGACTGGAACGTTTCTGTACTTCTCAATCAACGAAACCAATAATCAATCCTTCGAAATCCTCGCTTCTTTCCTTCATGTTTATTCTTCTTAACGAGGGAGTGCATTTTGATCCCCTCCGCGCAATGCGCTATTACGTGATTGTCCTACCAAAGGTCCTTTCATTCGGCGTTTCCATCGAACGCATGCATCACTAGCGGATCCACAGGGAACCATGTAGCCTCCCTTGGAGTCTCCTTTTTTAAAAATATTTATGCAAAATGTTATATATATTTTTACTATTTCTGCAATACTTATAATCACAACTTTTATTCCAAAAATATCTTTTAATTTAATTAATTCTTAGATATAAAAACGTATATTTTATTATATTATTCTTCTTTTGTGTTAATAA